CTTCGGTCTGGAGCATGGCGGATGCGATGGCCATCTCGACCCCTCTCATCCAGAGCAGGACCTTCCCCTCAAAAACCTTAACGCTCACCATGAGCGGCTTAGGACGGGGAATATAATCCGTCACTGACGGCGGCGTCATAGATGCAAATGATGCAGACATCTTCTGCTGCAGAGTCTCTAGCAGAGCATTTTCGTAATTTGAATATGCCTCTAGACGCGCACCGATTGCCTTGGGGCCTTTTGCAGTAAGGTGTTGCACGCCCTCAGGGCCAAGCAAGGACATCAGCTTTTTAAGCCCGTCCTGCATGCCCTGGGGCAAAGTGGAAAATTCCTCCATCCTCACCAAGGATCCGTCTAAACGACTCAGGTGTAGATTGACTACAAGTGCTACCAAGTTCGGCGGGGCGACCGTAGCTTTGCGCTTTAAGGAAGCGTAACTTAGGTCACCGACCTTTCGTTCTTTACAAGGATCAATACGAGTGTAGCGGATCGCAATCCGCTACCTCCAAGAGTAGTTAGTACCTTAACTAAGGCTAATAGACTCTTCGGTTTAAATTCAAAACTGACTTTTATTCATTTATATCAGCTGCAAAGCCGCCTAATTTTAGATGTATAGATCTTCCCAAATATATATAGTAGAATCTTAATACATGCATAACTACTGACTACCCAGCCACATACCGTATTCTTGTTTGGTTGCAGTCACACCATGCTCGTTTCGTGTGACACACACCCCTGTTACCAGAGTACGTGTAACCCCATTACACCTTTGGTGTTCGACAACTTGGATGCTACGATGTCCAGCACATTGACTGTCCCGGTCAATGTAGTCAAAATTCTCCCTTTGTACGAACCAATGCCGTGTGATAGTTTCATAAAACAAGTCAACTTAATGAATCACTCCCCGATATGAGGGAAACTCACGGTGGGTCTTCTGCCAACAGGGTCGTGATATTTCCTTTAATGAAAGATACACAGAATGTCAATACCTAATGTTAAAAATGGAGGTTCAACTCTTTTGCAATCAGTAACTAGCTCATTCATGACGGATGATGATATCAGCCCCTCACCTTGTATATCAACCGTATCATATTTTTGACTCACCGCCTCGTTTTATCTTAGCATACAATAAATCTTCCAGCCCAAAATTTCTTTTGCCAGAGATAGTAAAAGTAATTTATAGCCTCTATGACTTTCCTTCATTTCCATTCACGAGTGAAAAATCTACCTCGCCAGAAACTGTGGAGCTTCACTGCTTCGTACGATAGGCGTGCCAAACGGTAGTACTGACTCAGCAGTAGCATTACAGGGCACAGAATTTTCTTATTTTTTGACTGTTGAATCTAATCCTTGGCACGAGAGACCGCGCCACCCAGTTTCTTTATCTCTCCATCGACTCAAGCACAGGAGACACCAGCGTGCAGCCGTAGCTAATCGCTCCACCGGAGATGCCCAAAAGCATCATGACAAACAGTTCTTCTTTACTAGACCAGGCGTATACAGTGTACCACAACGGGCAACTTCTGATAGATAAACTCCCGACATATCTGATTGCATGAGAAGTTGCAAATTGTGCGCTTGCATACGGCCAAGCTCGACTACATGAGC